CACATGGTGTACAGATCTATCTACAGGCACGGTCACCCCCAACTTCTCGATAACAGTGAAAAGCTGGAACCTTCTCAGTGTCCAATCACAGGTTACTTAAGAAAACTGACAGGGCCTCTGGAAAACGGAGCCGACTCATCTTCTCTCATACCCCACATCCAACCTGGGAGCAAAGTTTCCAGCTTGACCTTCAAAACACATCTGGAATGCAGCCACTTCTTACTAGATCCACCATTACTACCTGGGTCCCAGTCACTGTCATCTCTCACCTGGGTTCTGGCAAGAGCTCCTAGCCGTCCTCCAAGATTCCAGTAGCAGCCATAGTGAGTCTGTTAAAAAAAAAGTCAAATTATGGGTCACTCCTCTGCTGAAACCCCTGCAATGACTCCCATCTCAGAGTAAAAGCCAAGGAAAGACCGCCCTTACGATGGCTATTTGCGCCCAGGACCCTCTCAGGGCCCCTCCTCACACTCTCCGCAGTGCCCGCTGTCTGCTCCCGCCCACGGGCCTCCTGGCTGTTCCTGGAGCATGCCAGACCTGCCGCCACCTCTGGGCCTTTGCACCCGCTGTCCCCTCTGCCTGGAATGCTCTTCCTCTAGACACCTACATGGCTCCCTCCTTCCCGTCCTTCAGGCCGTTGCTGAAACGTGACTTCCTCAGGGAGGCCTTCCATGACCATCCCCTATCTAATTGCAACCCCCTCCCCCACATCCCTCTCCCTGCTTAATTTTGTATTTTTCTCCGTAGCACTTATCTGCACACAACATACTCTGTATTTGCTTATTTATTATCTTTGGTGTCAATCTCTCACCCAAAAGAACGTGATACCTTTTCAAGTTTGTGTTTTTGTTTTCTTTAGATAAACACCTAGAAGTGGAATTGCGGGATCATACGATAGAAGAAACTTTGAGACTTTTAAAAGCCTTATGTGTGTACATCCAGCAGTGGAAAAATAATTGACATAGCTAGATTTTAGGTCTCCTACAAACACCTCACTGGTTTGGGGTGTTTTTTTTTTGCCAGACTCGTGGAGACACACCTATGAGTGATTAATTCTTGTTGAATTGCCCAAAAATAGTGTGTCAGTGTCGGAGTCCTAAGCCCGTCGGACGCCTGAAGCAGTGGTGAGCGGTAGTTCATGGGGTTTGGTTACTTGCCCACTGGTGCTAGGAGGATCTTTAATTCAATCTCATGTTACAATGAAGGAAATTGAAATTCAGAGAGGGGTGGGGGCCTGTCTAGGACACACAGTGAGTCAGGGCTGAGCTGGAGCCACAGCTCCAACCATCTCTCTCTGCATCACCCACTCATTCATTCATTCATTCATTCATTCATTGACATAGCAATTACTGAGCACCCACGGTACTGGGGCAGGTGCTGCTCTAGATGCTGGGGACAGAGGGCTAACACAGACAAAGTCTCCACCATCATGGTTTTGAGAGCAGCAATAAACAAGTAAACAAACAAAAGAAAGCTAAGTCTCAACAGAGGGGGGTCAGGGAAGGTCACACAAGGGACAGACAACTAAGCTGCACCCTGAGGATGAGAAAAGTCAGTTGTGGAAGGAACCACGAGACGGGCATTGAGAGCCAAAGAAACTGTAAGGGCAAAGGCCGCGATGCACGCCTGAGGACAGCAAGCAGCCCGGACGGCTGCTCTGTGTAAGCGATGCTGGGAGGGGTGCAAAGCAAGGTCACGGGAGCCAGCAGCAGATCAGGGAGCCTCAGGCAGGGTCTGAATTTGCTCCAAGTGCAGTGAGAAGCCACTGCAGGGTCCAGGCCACCTGAATTCCAGAAGCGTTTGAATTCTAGAAGACACACCTAGACTCCGAGGTGCCCGAGTTTCCTTTCCTGACTCCCCAGGACCCCCTAGTGCCCCCTCCTCACCATCTACAGTGGTTCCAGTACTACAGCCGGGGGCTACCCACTCCTGTGTCCCTGCCACCATGACAGTGGGGTCTTGCCAGTCCTAGCAGAGCTCTGTGCCACAGAGAAAAGCCAGCACTGGGCAGGGGCATAACCATGGTGTCTTCCGGTCCCTCTGCTGCAGCCAGGCTTTTCCCACACAGGCCAGCCACCAGTGTGTGTCCGGGGCTTTCCAGAGAGCCTCCCTTGCCCCCCAGAACAGGAAGCAGTGGCTTCCACACACTCTCCACCATGGCTGCTGACTGCTGGGTCAGAAGTTTGACAGCTGCCAAGAAGGGCTCAGTGTCTGGCATCTCGAAGATTCCAGGCCCAGGCAGAGAGTGAGGGAGAAAACTGGAAAGCTGCAGGACAGGACCCAAGCGGAGGAGGGAAGGCAGAGTTTCAGCCTTGCTCCACACAGAGCCCATGTCCCCGCGCCACACCAGGCCACCTGCAGGGCAGTACAAGCCGGAGATGAATGGGATACGGGCCCTGAACTCAAGGGGCTCACCAGCTAGCAGACCAGAAACATGCTGTTCAGGGCACTCCCCTGGAGCTAAACTGACCCTGACGTGTGTGGATGCTCTCTCTCTACAACAGCAGTGGCAGCACAGCAGCAGGTAGCCATTCCAATAAACAAGGCCAGGAGGTAATCATGGGGCATAAAGCATTGCACCCCCTACCGCACACCACACACGACAATCTACTCGCAGTGCATGATAGCGCCCCGGAGGAGACAGGCAAACTAAAAGGTTTTTAATTATTGTGCTTCCTGTCTGCCAGCATCTCTCCAAGTGCTCTGCGCATCTTCCCTCATCTTACGCCTCACCATGGCCTGTGTGAAATTGCAGAAGCAACAATAAAGAGGAACGATAAAAAAGAAACCTCCAGGACCTGGAGGTGTGACACTGGCTGTGAAAGACAAGGTGGAGGTGGCTGAGTACTTCGAAGTTGGCAGCTTCTAGCCATCAATACACCACATTAAGAGAGTAGAAACGCAAACCACGGGGTGGGAAAAGAGTTGAGAAGCGCATGTACCCCAATGAATACGTAAGGAGCTCCGACAGACCGTTAAGAACAGAATCCAGTCAAACAAGGAGCACTGGACTTGAACACACGCCTCCCAATGAGGGTATAAAGATGGCAACAATCCCATGAAAAGATGCCAGCATCATTAGTCATGAGGGCAATGCAACTTAAAACCATCACGAGGCACCACTACACACCCGTTAGGGTGACGCAAATGAAAGATACTGGCCTTGTCAAGTGTCAGTGGGGGCTGGAGCACCTCGGACTCCATGCACTGCCAGTGGGGATGCAAAGTGACACAGCCACTCGGGAAAACGGTTTGCCATAGTTGAGTACAGGGGCAGCTATTCAGACTCAGTTTCACCTCACATACACTTGTGTCCTTGTGTACATGTGTAAGAATGTCCCCAGCAGCATTGATCATGATGGCCCCAACCTGAAACAACCCAAATGGGCATCGACAGACAAAAAAAAAAAAAAAAAAGGATAAATAATGATGAATTCAAATAATGGAGCCATACAACAATAAAAATGAAAAAACTCCAGCTACACACACAAAAAAATAGATGAATCTTATTTACATAAATTTTGAATGAAAGCAACAAGGCCCCAAAGCATAAAAAACAGTGTGTATGGCTCAGTTTATAGAAAATTCAAAAAGGAGTAAAATGAAACTGGATTGTTTTGGGGTCTGTTCATAGGCGGTAAATTTACGAAGAAAAGCAAGAAGTGACCCCCATCAGGATCAGGACTGTGACCACTTCTCATGGGGAGAGGGGGACCCGCTGGAAGAGACATGGTGGGCTTCTGAGGTTCTACTTTTTGTCTTGTCCTCACCTCCTGCCTCCAAGGCCATGACACTGGTGGCCTTGAATCTCACCAGGGCCCAGAAGCGTGGCTTCTCCGGTACTTTCTGACAGAAGCGCGGGATGCAGCTTTGCCCAGAGAAAGGCACCCCGTGGAACTGAGTCTATCCCACCTCCCTTCCACATCCCACCCTGGCTCTGGTCCCACCAGCTCCCTGCTCCCAACCTCAGTTTCCACATCTGCTACTGGCATGATGGCCCCCAATTATGCCTAGCTCATAGGACAGCATAATGAACACTAAAGACCTTTGAGAGCTAATGTCTAATTGCCAGAGATTGTCAAGGACTCTGAGGGACAGCCAGGCCCAGCTGGGTCCCTCAGGGCTGTGGGTTCAGCCCCACCCTGTCTGGCCCTGCCAGGCAGCCTCAGGCTGTTTGCTACTTGGGTTCAATATATCATCTTTCACCAACCAATCGGCTGGGGTGACCAGGAGCAGGTCACAGAGCCTACTTCCTGTTTTCAAATGGGGAACTTAGAGAAACAGCAGCCACTCTGACTGCTCCCCCGGAGCTTGGAACAGAGAGCTGAAGGGGGCCATGTGACATGCCTCCAGGACCCCTGGATACCCACAGGCCCAGAAGCTTCAGGTCAGAGGTCAGTGTTTGATCCCAAGCTTAGCGGGCCTCTGCCCACCTGTGGCCTGAGCCACAGTCTCCTATGTCCCACTTTCAGTACTTGTTGGGGGAAGGGTGGGCCGGAGAAGGCTTGGTGACAGCTTCTACAAGTGGGGCTCTCCTTAGCATATTGGGGCAGAGCAGGGAGCAGCTCCTCAATCCCCTATTACCTCAAATCTTTTTGAAGCACCACCGTTTCTGCAGCCTCTCTGGAACCTGGGGAGTAATTCACCACACCTGTGTTTTTCAAAAAGTGGTGCCAGGGAACCCCCCCACCCCCGTGTTGATACAGTCGTTGGGGCTTGTGCAAAATGCAGAGTCCAGGGCCCACCCCTACACCGGGTATATTGGACTGTCTCATGTTGGGAGCCAGAAAATCTACATTGTACAAGCTCTCCCCCTACTCTCTCCACCCCCCACCTCCCGCCCCCCGGGGAAGATTCTGACGCACTCTCACATTTGCGAGTGTGCTCATCCAAGATCTTCTGACTTTCAGGTCAGGCCAGGGTGCTTTACACTGCTCCACTGGGGTACCCCCTCCCCCGCCAGTGGACAGTCCTCTTCAGCCCCCTCAGAAAGGTAGCATGGGCTCTGGAGGTGGCCCTGTGTGCCCATCAGAAGGACTGGACGTGGCAGGCAGCCCTGGGAGGGAGGAGTGATCCTCAGGGTGCCAGGGGGTGAGGAGCACACTGGCTGCACATGGAGGGTGGAGGGAAGCTACTCTGCCTCCTGGGCCCCCACGCCAACAGCACCAACATTTGCAGTATTTAGAAATCTTTGCTATACAGGGTACGGCGAGGGAAGGAAATGGCCCTCAAATCCCCATGTGTAGCTGTCTCTAAAGAGCTTTTCCGTGACAGGATTGCTTTCCCCATTTCACAGGTGAGGAAACTGAGGCCTAGTGGGGACAGGAAGCTGCCTAAGACACAGCTGGATTTTCTCCTTCCCACTCCCCTTTAATGGGTGCCTGCCAGCCAACCCCTTCAGTGGAAAGCTACGGGCAGTGGCTTTGGTGGCTGGATTTGATTTTTAGTCTAAGCCCTGGGTTCATGCCCAGCTTTCTCAAGTCTTTACTAGAATGTCCAGCCAAGTCTATCATTCCTGGAGTCTCACAGGGTCTCCAGGCTAACATCACCCTGCTTCTGGCCTGGCACCAGCTGCCTGACAGGGACAGCAGAGCTGGAAGGGCTGGGGCCACTGAGGCCAGAGCCACTTCCCGTCACCCATTTTACAGATGAACTGACTGAGGCAGGTGCCTAGAAGTGCTCACAGGGAACTCTAGACCCCAGGAATCCCTGCCACCAGGAGCCCATTACATCAGAGAGCACGTAGGCCACTGTCGGTCTTGCCTGGGCACCCAGCACAATATAAGGAACCTGTCCCTAGACACCCGTCATCTTGTCAGCAGGACAGACTTCTCAGATGGAGAAAGCAAGGCCTGTAATGAACTTGCCTGCAGACTCACAGGTGGTTGGGACAGAAGGCACGGCTCCTCAAGGGGAGATGGGAAGTAAACGAGGTATGCGAGCTCTAGCGTGCTCAGGCGTGTGCAGCCCTGAGCCAGCCCTGGCCCTGCTCTGTGCCTCAGTTTCCCACCTGTATAAGGTTAGATGGAGGGTCCCTGAGAGGCACCCACTGGACAACTGCACAGAGTCACTTGGAGAATGTCACAGGGTTCCTTTCACCAGACACAGCAAGAGCTGCCCCTGCAGAAGCATGGCCCCAGCTGACCTCACCTCTCCCCGGGCCAGGCCAGCTCCAGGAGGCCCTCGCCCCTGGAATGGGGACAGGCTCTGGCCACACCCAGAGACATAGATAGGACTGTTCGAGTAGCAGTGGCCCCACTTCTGTCTAGGCCACAGGCAGCATAGGGGTCAGGCAGGCCAGAGTTCAAGTCCCAGCTCCACTCCCGTGTTCTACTTGCGGCTCCCTCGGATGCTGCTAAGAAGGAGGTAAGGTCACGTGTACCCTTCTTATTTTGAATTTCTGTGCCTGAGTAGCGCCCCAGCTACCTGTTCCATCTGAGCTAATGTTTTAATGGTCCCTTTTTCTAATTTGTCTCAGATGTTTAAAATTCTATTCCAACTTACACCTTGATTTATTTTTCAAATATTTCTCAAAGCATTTATCGTGTCAGATAATAAGAGAGACTGCTCTACAGTGCCTGGTATGTGTGTGGGTGGGGGGGCCCTGAGCTGTCACTTTACATGGGACACCAGCCTCGTAAAGCTGGGCTCTGTCATTATGTCCCTTTTACAGGAAACTGAGGCACAGAGAATTTAAGTAACTCGCCAAGTAAGGCACCAAGTCACCCCATTCACTTATCTGGGTCACAGACAGAGTTACTACAGAAACTGAACCCCAGGATTCCTGCTGCCTGCCCTCCCCTGAGCAGGGTGGAGAGGTTTCTGAAGTTAGGTTGGTCTGCGCTGGTGTCCTGCCCACCACCAACCAGCTCGATGGTGGGCAACTCTAAGTCTCAATTCCTTTATCATAAAATGGAGATCTGAAATGAGACAGTGGGTGTTGAGTGCAGAGTATCAAGTCTGACGTTTGTCACAAGCGTTTGGCTGTGCTCGCTGGGCGTATTCACCAACCATGTGTGACCCTGGGCTAAACCTCAGCTTCCTCAGCTGTTACTGGGAGTCATGATAGATTTTTGTGGGTGTTAGATAAGACTGGATGTGAAGGACCTCGGTGCATATGAAGTGGGTATAAGAAGCGGTCAGCAAATGTTTGCTCAGTGAGAAAAAGGGAGAGACGGGAAAGATAGATACCAGTACCCCTGCTCTGGACATTGAGAGCCGATCGACACATGTCACAGAAAATGGTGTATAGGGACGTTTTTCTGGACAAGCCAGCATCTTTCTCCCAAGGAACCACTAAAGCCATCACATTTGCTTCAAGTCACCGCATTGAAAAATCAGAGCAACTCAATAATATAAGGATCCTAACAATAAAAGAAAGATCTGCTCAGCCTTGGACTGACCAGGACAGCAAAGGGCCAGGCCCCAATTTAGCATCTGGCATTTGGGCAGATGGCTAGGTGGGCAGTGGGGGGCTCGGCAGTGGGGACTATGACACGGGTCCTAGGCATCCCAGGACCCACCAGAAACCCCACCATGAGTGGGCATTCACTGTTCTCTCTTGTCCCCGTGACAGCCTCGGAGCATGGCAAGCGCCGAGCACCCTGGGAGCCCCGGAAGGACAGGACCTGTAACCCAGTGCACGGCAGGGACCAAGCCGGAAGCGTCAGCCGCTGGCCCCGACCTCCCGCATCCAGGACCCGATGAGGACTCAGGTGGGCTTGAGGCGTGGGGCTTGGCCGGGAGAACAGAGGTTTGAAGTCATCTGAAATACACATGTGGGTGCTTCAGCAGCTACCACAAGGCAGCGGGGCAGCTCTCTTAGCTCAGGTTATCCCAAAGTAGACACCGACACAGGGGTTTGGGGCATGTGGTTTACCTGTGAGATGATCCCAGGAGGAATGGCAGGGCAGTGGGAAAGCGAGGAAAGAAAGGGCAGAAAGCCATACCGGGAAAGGATGGACAGATTACTGCTGTGGGCGACGGGGGCTCTGTCCCAACAGGGGTCCCCTGGGGGCCTGTATGAAACATCTCTGAGTTGTCCCATCCGAGAAGCAAAAAGGCCAGGCTATGACCCACCAGTCCCATCCTTTATCGGCTGAGGGGTTCCCCACAACATGCTGCTCAGGGCGAGTCAAAGGAAGCCAGAACAGTGAGTGCCAAGGCGTCTGCTGTAGCACCATCCGCTGGAGCAAATCTCTCCTCAGTCATTGCCTCAGTCTCACAATCATTCTAGATGTGCCCATTGAACCCATGCTCTGTCCCTCGCACTGCACGGGGCTCTGGGGAAACAGGGACAAATCAGATACCGCGCTGGCCTTCAAGCTTAGAGATGCCACAGAAAAGGAAGGCGATAGGGACAAGGTGGGCGGCTCTTATTCTAATGCCAAGGGGCAGCTGAAGTGGCATGAGGGCTGCGTCTTGAAGGACACACTGGGAAAGGGCTCCTGGGACCCATGTCCCTTGAAATAAAATGCACAATGACTTGTGCATTTCTGGTGGGGAAGGACTCTTATCCCTCCCAGGATTCTCACAATGGCCCAGGGCTCAAGGGAGGTTTAAGAGACACTGTGTTCGCTTTTCAGGCAGGGATGAGAGGATTGCACTGAAGGCAGAAGGAGTGCCATGTACAAGAAAAAGCAAGGAATGGGGGCCAGGAGGTGAGAGGGTAGGGAGGCGCCAGCCAGGCTGAGCCCGGAGCCCAGCATCTCACAGCTCCCGCCACCACCCACTGGCGTGTGCTCAGGAGGCGGGCGACAGACAACCCTGGCATCGGTGTTATAGGGAGTGCACACATGAGCAAGCCATCGTCCCTGCTTTTCAGGAGCATGGGGTTTCACAATGGCCAACCTGTAGGCCGAAAGTGGACGAGCAACACAAACACACCACATTTCACAACTGGAGCCACTTAGGGCTGAAGGGCTATTTCAGGTTGTCAGTGTCAGGATGGATCTAGCCAGGTTGGGTACAGGGTAGGGCCGATGCCCCGCTGGGCCTATAAGTGGTGGGATGGGGAAGGGGGGTATTCACAGTTCTTTTGGGTTCTGATGTCCCATCCCAGACAGTCCCAGCCATCTCCCCAGGTCCTTGCCCCCCAAGTGCACTGACCTGGTACAAGTCCTCAGAGGTGCTATCCTTCCAGATGCCGACAGCAGCCCGAGCCTCAACTCCAGCATGACCACGCGGGAGCTGCAGGAGCACTGGAGAAATGAGAAGCGCTGCTGGAAGCCAGTCAAGCTGCTCTTCGAGATTGCCTCAGCCCGCATCGAGGAGAGGAAAGTCTCCAAGTTTGTGGTAAGCGGCCATCAGGAAACTCTCGCACCGCCTCCTTCGGCCCTGGGCAAGTTCTGTGGGGCCTCGGCTCTCCCAACCATGAAATGGGTTTGCACACTTTTTTTTTTTTAAGATTTTTATTGGGGAATTGGGAGATGGGAACAGCGCTAGGGAATTGGGGGAAGGGGAACAGACAAGTTGCTGTCATTTTGTTCTTCAGTCTAGTTGTGGAGGACGTTGCTTCACTGGCCCAAGTTGGCACCATCATTGCACTCTTCCCGGGTGAGGCAGATCAGTCGCCGGCTTCTGGAGGCCGCTCACTGTGGCTGCTGGCCGCTCACGCTGGCTGCTGGCTACACACGGTAGCCCATGGCAACCCACTGCCACAGGGACTGCAGCCTACGCCATCGCTGGCGACTTACGGCAGCCCAGCTCCAGGTTGAGCTGTTGTTCAGCATCTTAGCTGTAGAGGGCAGTGTCACTGGCCCTCATATGTGGGATCCAAACTGGGGCCCTCTGGTGTCCCAAGCCAGCTCTTAACCAATGCGCCACTCGGCCGGCCCCGGGTTTGCACACTTTAACTCACAGAGTTTTTCTGGGGAAAACGGTCAAAGAGCAAGATTTCCCGCTTGGTCCTCTGCTAGGTATGGTGGAAGAACTAGCCCAGTTTAATCCCATGATATCCAGTATTAGTCATCTGTGTCCCTTCTTCTCCATTTTTGCCATATCCCTGTGTCATTTATATGATTATTTACCTAATCTTTTCCTTTACATTGGATCACTTAAAAAACAAATAAACACAGGGCCGGCCGAGTGGCACGTTGGTTAATAGTTGGCTTGAGTCGCCAGCTCTAAGCAGCAGGGCCCCCGGTTCAGATCCCACAGGAGGGCCAGTGACACTGCGCCCTCTACAGCTAAGATGGTGAACAACAGCTCGACCTGGAGCTGGGCTGCCATGAGTCGCTGGCGATGGCGTAGGCTGCAGTGGGGCTGCAGTGGGGCTGCAGTGGGGCTGCCATAAAGCTACCATGAGTGGCTGATAGCAGGCGTGAGCAGCCGTGAGCCGCCGGCCAATGGGAAGAGTGCCTCGCCCGGGAAGAGCACAATGATAACACCAACATGGGCCAGTGAAGCAACATCCTCCACAACTAGACTGAAGAACAAAAGGACAGCAGCTTGTCTGTTCCCCTTCCCCCAATTCCCCAATAAAATCTTAAAAACAAACCAAAACACTATAATAATTTCAAAGAAAAATACCTAAATGGAAACCAGTATCACATGGCATAAGAAAAGGTGATCATAAAAGTAAACATAAGGAAAGCTAAGTGCTGTTAAATTCTGGCTTGTTACTGGTGGAAAAGCCCTGTGCTTGGGGGCTGCTTTCTTTGTTACAGTGGAATTGTAGCCTGGGGTGGGGGGAAGAGTTAGACACTCCACCTTTCTTAGGACTGGAATTACAACAATAGCAGACACTGAGTACATGAAATCATTTAATCCCCACCCAGCAAGGTGAGCTCTTTTACTATCCTCGTTTTGTGGATAAGAAAAGTGAAGCTCAGAGACGTTAAATTACCTACCTATAACCACACAGCTAGACCCCACGGTGGGGCTGGAATTACAACCCGGGCAGTCTGTACGCTTATTTACTATTCTCTTGAAAGAGAACCGAAAAGGAGTAATTTTCTTACTATATAACATCGTTGCCAGTATAGCACCTAAAACCATCTCCCAAGTGTGGAATATTTGGGGAGCCACAGATCTAACCCAAGTTTCCCCCTTCAGGAACCTGAGGCCCAGTTTTTGGGTTTTTTTAACATATTTACTGTACTATATTTTATTTTTTATTTTTTTATTATTAGTGTCAGGTGTACAAAACAATGCAATAGTTATACTTTTCACCCCTCACAAAGTGACCACCCCCATCCCCCAATCCGCCGCCCCCTCCCCCAATATCATACATATCTATCACAAGCCCATGGACTCCACTCCCCGCACTGTACTGCACAGCCCATGACCATGTATATATCCAATCTTAGTTGACATACAATATTATTCAATGGCAGCTTCAGATGTACAGTGCGGTGGTCAGGCCTCTACACCGACTAGACTATGAAGTGGTCTCCCTAACAAGACATGAGTCCATCTGGCCCCTAAAAAATATTCACAACGTTATTGATTTTACTCCCCAAACTGTCTTTCCTATCCCTGTGGCAATATTGTAGTTGCTGAGGCCTAGTGTTGATGGTGTAAAGCCGAGAGCGTCCCCAGGCTCCCTGCCTGGCCCGTTCCTGTGCTCTTTCTCCCAGGAGAGGCCTCCGTGTCACTGTGCTTGTTATTCTTGGGTTGGCTCTTGTCATGATCCACTTTTACAGCTCAGCGATGCCGGTGGCAATTTAAAACAGAATTGCATATAACAACAACCCGTTTTCAGGGTATGCTTTAAATTATGATCATCATTATTTTACTTGCCGGGCTCACTCTGTCAGTTCAAACCCTCCGTTAGGATGTAGTCAAAGGCTGTCTCTCTCTCTCTCTCTCTCTCTCTCTCTCTCTCTCTCTCTCTCTCTCTCTCTGTCTCTCTCTCTCTGTCTCTCCCGGCACCGCAGATGTACCAAGTCGTCGTCATCCAGACAGGGAGTTTTGACAGCAACAAAGCCATCCTGGACCGGCGCTATTCAGACTTTGAGAGGCTCCAGAAAAACCTCCTGAAGTCGTTCGGGGAGGAGATCGAAGATGTCCCCTTCCCCAAGAAGCACCTGATGGGGAACTTCACCCAGGAGATGATCTCTGAGCGCAAGCTGGCCTTCAAGGAGTACCTGAGCCAGCTCTATGCCATCCGCTGCGTCCGTCGGTCCCGCGAGTTCATCGACTTCCTGACGCGGGCCGAGCTGAAGGAGGCCTTCGGCTGCCTGCGGGCGGGGCAGTACACCAAGGCCCTGGACATCCTGGTGCGCGCGGTGCCCCTGCAGGAGAAGCTGACGGGCCACTGCCCCGCGATGGTGGTCCCGGCCCTCTGCGCCACGCTGGTGTGCCACCGGGAGCTCGAGCGCCCGCTGGAGGCCTTCGCCGCCGGCGAGAGGGCCCTGGAGCGCCTGGGGGCCCGGGAGGGACATCGTTACTTCGCGCCCCTGCTGGACGCCATGATCCGCCTGGCCTACGCGCTGGGCAAGGACTTCGTGTCCCTGCAGGAGAGGCTGGAGGAGAGCCAGCTCCGGAAGCCCACCTCCCGGGGCTTCACCCTGAAGGAACTGACCGTCCGGGAATATCTGTGATGAGATGCCCTGGCAGGCCAGCCAGCTGTGGGCTCACCATCGCTCTGAGGGCTGTTTGGAGCTCCTTTGGGGCGGGAAGAGCCACTTTGGGCTCTAGTTTGCTGGTCACCTTGGACAAGCCACTCCTCGGGTCCTCCATCTCCCCATGTGTGTTGAGCAGAGGTGCTCCCAGGCATCCTTGGGCCTCTGGTGTGTCTTGTGTCCCTTAGATGCCAGGCCCACTTCATCTCAAAACCACAAACCCAGCTGCCAAGACACTGGAGGGTAAGAGTCATCTTACCGATGTTTTTGTAGGTAGCTGGAGGAGAGAGGTTTCCACGGTGCACCATGGACATGGCTTAATCCAGGTCCTTGCAAACAGCCCTCTCCAGCTGTCACGGGTCCTTCTCTCTGCTCCTTTCTCCTCGGAGCTGCTACCTAAGCAAACAGCAACTGTTCTCACCCATTATCCTAAGTATTCTGACTTCCTTCTTGGCGCGTAGACCCAACTCACAAAACCAAATCTCACCTCCTACCCCTCAAAGCCAGCTTGGCCCCTGGGGTGGGGTGTCTTGTCATCCTTTGAAGGATGGGAGGATACTGGGCTAGAAGCAATCACGTCATAAGAGTCTATGATACAAGGTATCTTTTACAAGGGCAGTTGGCAACAATTCCTCTAGTTCAGATGCTATAACTCATTGCCTAGGGGTAGATTTTCATGTATAAGGCAACTGTTTCTTAATGGCCTCTCTGGGTTGTGTAGACATAGCCCTGAAGGGAGGTGGGAGAGAATACTCATGGGGACCTTGGGGCAGAAAAGAGATGAATGCTCAACACTTCCCGATTTGAGGCACAATGTTCTTGGAAGCTCTCTGACAGATGGGGGGTGACCCTGACTGAAGTCTGCTGTCAGGAGGGATCACCAAGGGCCCCAAAGTCAAGAGGAGCCTGGCCCTATGACCTGGGTTCCACACCGGACCGGAAGCAGGTGGTACAAGCTGGTTTGGACCAAATATGTATTTGAGGCTGGAAGTCCCTGAAGACCTAAACCATCGGGCTGAGCTTAGCAGCGGGTACTGAAGAGGCTGGGACTTGGGAACCTTAACGTGAGGCGCCACGTTGGCCTGTGCCGGGAGCTGGCTTAGAAATGGAAACGTCGGAGCCTGGGGACCAGGGGTCACTAACCGGCACCAGTTGTGTTCAACAGCGACCCCGTGTGGTCACATCTGTAATGGCCCCATCAGGCTCTGTGCCGGAGGTTAGAAACAGGCTGACACCCTGGGACAAAGAAAGCCTTCAAGTGTCTCTATTTGCTCCAGGGGAAGGACGCTTCGAGTGGGAAATATTGGGCTCCTTGAAAATTAAAGTGTTAAATGGAAAAATAAAAGTGCTACAACTCTATTGGTAACGGTGACGATCATATCGATTTTACAAGTTATTTGGTCGTATAAAATGCTGTCAACTATAAGACTCACCAAATAGTCACTAAGAATGAAAAAATACCCAACGTGGGGAGTTTCATAGGCGATTCATGCAACAAGTAAAGAGTTAGCCCTCCCCACCCCCCACCCCCAATGTAAGTGTCAGTGTGGAATAAACCAGCTGGGTGGGGAGACACAGTGAGGAAATGCGTGAATTAAACTGGGGGCTGGGTGGAGGGTGAGGAATCTCCTGCTAGGATTTGAACTGCAAGGTTTGGGGTCTGAGTACACACCGTGTGGGTCAAAATCCTTTCAACGGAGAGGTCATGGCCAATGGTCTCAGCTGGAGGGGTTCCGGTTACCTGGCACAAAAGCGGACTCTCCCCAAAGGAAGTCGACGTCTATCCAGGCCATAGGGAGGGTAAGGATGCCACTGAGTGCAAGTGGGGGGAATGTGTGCCTCAAAATCACACATATATGGTGTATGTGTGTGGTAGAGAGAGAGGGAATTTTTTTTAAAAACCTATACAGGGTGGAAGGGACCTACAAAATTATATCGGGCATTCCCCATCAGGACCCCTAAAGCAGGGCTGGCTCCCCACATCATGTACAGGGAATGTAATTATTCTGACTTCCTGAAAAGGGGCTGCCCTCAAAGGGCGGCTTCAGGGCTCCCACCTTGCCTCTTCTGGGGGACACTCAATGCTGCCCTCCCAGGTCTTCAGATCGGCGCCCACCGGTGCCTCTCCTGGCCACGCACACGGTCATCATCCCCTGTGGGTGTCTGATGGCCTGAGATGGCCCTTGACGGCCACCTCCTCCTGGCATCTCCCATTCGCTGCAGAAGTCAGAGGCCCATTCATTTCCTGGGTTCCCAGAACAAGTCCTTCAACTCCGCAAGCCCCCTCCTCCAGGAAGCTTTCCTTGTGGTCCACTGGGAGCCGGAGCACCAGCATTGCCTGTTAGAGATGCCAAATCTCAGGCCCCAGCCCAGACCTGCTGAATCAGAATCTGCGTGTTAACAAGACCCCGCCTCTTCCTTCACAAGTGACTCCTGTGAGGGCCAGTTTGACAAGCTCTGTTTCACTGACTGGAAGGTGCTTTGATGAGCGTCACCCACAGAGCCTGGGGAGTCTGCTGTCGGGTTCCTCCCCACCCGTCTTCTCCCTGGCCAGGCCCAGGGAGCTGCAGGTGGGAGCACCACGCCAGCCTCACCCACACCCGGCAACCGCACTGGGCACTCGCTCAGCGCCTGGGGGCTCATTCAGATGAAAGCTCCAGCAGCCGCTCCGTCCTGCCAGTGGGCCCTGTGGTCCCCCTGGACCAGATTAGGCATCCTGTGCCTGGAATGCTGGCAGGCACCCCACACACACCCTCCTCAAGCCAGGATGGGAAAACGGCACTGCCAGTGACAGCCTGAGCTCTAAGAACCAGACTGCCCAGCACTGTCAGAGCCCTGCTGTGTGTCCAGGGCTCCCCTCTGGCTCTGCTCAGGAGATGTTCCTATCCCATCTAACACACAGGACACAGACACCCTGAGAGGTTAAGTGGCTTGCCCAAGGTCACACAGCCAACAATGGGCAGAGCAGGAAATTCAGCACAGACCGGGGTGACCCCAAGCCTGTGCTTCCCACACAGAGCCCCATGCTGAGGGAACAGGCGCAGAGGGCTGGAGACGTCCCTGGTCTTCTCATCCTAAGGGCCCTTAAAGGGCATTTCACTTGTCTATTTACAAGTGGGGAAACTGAGGCCTGGAAAGGGGGCTCACTTAAGGTGACATAATGAGACTGGGCAGCTCCAGGACCAGAGCTGGGGCGGGGGGTGGGGGGCACATTAAACAGAATAATCCCAGGTTGGAATTCCAAGGGCCCAGCCAGACCTGGGGGGCGCAGGGTCAGACCTGAGGCCTGGGCAGAGGCTGGTAGCCGGCCCAGCCAGTAGGCTCAGTTCAGGGTGGGCTCCAGCCCCCAACACCTATGCACCCTTAGCTCTGTGACTTACCCCTAGCTGCAACTCTGCCTTAGAGCAGCAAAACCAGTTCCAATTCCACCTGCTGGGAGAGGGGGCTCACGTGCCTCCCCAGCCAGCCCTTCCTGGGCTCCTCCAGACGCTTTCTGTCCTTCCTGCAGCCACTACAAAGAGTGGCCTTCCTTCCAGAACCTTCCCCTCCCTCCTGCTCAATCACACACCCCCCTTCTGGGCCCAACAACAGTCACCACCTGTTCCATCACCCACTCGCCATTTCGTTCCAGCAGTCTCCTTTTACTTACGGAAATTTCCTTGAAGAAGAAACTTCCTATTACAACAACCCTAAATGCAACATCCGAATCACTTGCTATCACTAGAAGGTAGCTATAAAAGTAAACACGATGAAACCTATCCCTGATTAGCCTCACAGGCCTTTGTCTCAGGAAGGCCTTGAGTCTGAGGCTGCCCAAGGTCCTTGTGAAAAAGAGAGGGACAGAGACACGTGTTAGAGACTTGTTATCACCAAGCTGAGACTCCTCTTTGATTGTTCGCAGGACTGGAAAATACTGTGAAGGGAAGGAAGTTTCTAATCACGTGGCCAGGATCACCCGATGTTGTCTGTGCATCATCCCTACCTACCATGTGGGGTCTCCCTCCCTGCCCCTGGCCCTGGTCTCCTGGTCCCCAAGCCCTGTCTTCAGATCGGCTTGCTCTCCATGGGCCTGGGTTTGGCATTGATTGACATCCTGGGCTTTCAACACAATTGGCATGTGGTACCCAAGCTGCAGCTCCGCCAGCTGTGACACAGAATAGCAATCTTACCTGATATCAGGTAATACCCCCAAATGGAGGGAGAGTTCTGGGTTGGCCAAAGCCTGAACCTGTGGCATGTCTTCTATTTACTGTCACTGGACCCCCTGTTAAGAGAAAGAAAGGGCCCCTCTCCCTGAGGCCCTGCACAGAGCCCCACCCTCCGAGTCAGCACCGGAATAGGGCCTCTCACCAGCTTTATCCACCCATCTGTGCATGTCCTCATTTTCTCAGTAAGCAATAATTAATGATGCTCCTACTATGTGTCAGGCCCTGCAAAGAGCTGAGGACGTAGCAGCAAACAGGACAGACCCAGCACCTGCCCTCACTGAGGTGATATGTTAAAAGGCAGCCACTCACAGAGCAAACAGCAGCTGGGACACAATGGTCTCCCGCAGCCAGATGGTCAGGGAAGGCTCCTCAGAGGAGGGGGTGCTTAAGGGAGTGACAGGAGAGGCTAAGAAGGTGGCCACAGCTGCGTGCGAAGGGGAGAGTTTTAGGCAGAGGGAAAGCAGAAACACAGCTCTGACCCAGCAACACCCTCTTTCCCTGGGGACGCAGCCCAGGCCCAGGCCCAGGAAGGAGGCAGCCTCTACCCTGGCTATGCCCACTGAGAGGAAGGGTCCAGGTGCTGACAGACACCTGGCGAGCCACGTCTGTGCCATCGCCCTCTCCAGTACCCGGCTCATTGCAAAGCGAAGGCGCCGGACAGCCTGCGCTTAGGACACGCGGACCCTTTTGGATACAAATGACAGGAAGCCAGGTTCACCTGACAAGGGAGGACTTTATTATCGGAAAAGTCTAGCTTGATGCCAAGTTGGATCCAAAGACTCAGACCTTGTCATCCAGTCTCTCTCGTTCTCACTTTCGCTTTCTCTGTATCAGTTCTGCTTTCCTCGGCTTTGCCTTCTGCTCCACCTCCTGGTGACAAGATGGCTGTAGCAGCTCCAGGCTCACATGCTCCCTTCTCAGCAACCCAAGAGAACCCTCCAGGGCTCTTGTGAAGCTTTCTTTTGCAAGATATGCAGGAAACACCCCCTGCCCTTTTCAGAGAAACCCAGGCAGGGAAGACCCCCGCCCCACAGTACGGCAACCACAATTAGCTCGCCCAGCCTACAGCAGAAATAAGTCTTCACATACTGTTCTGTAATCTGCTTTGCAAATTGAATAGCAATTATTTTTTAGAGCAGTTTTAGGTTCACAGAAAAATTAAGAAAAAGGTGCAGCGATTTCCCAGGTACCCCCTCGCCCACACATGCAGAGCCTCCCCACTATCCTCACCGGAGTGGTGCATTTGTTACTACCGATGAAACTAAGCTAACATGGCTTATCACGCAGAGGGCACAGTTTACATTAGGATTCACCCTTGGTGTTGTACGTCCTATGGGTTTAGATAAATGTATCCACCATGAACATGTACCCACCATTATAGTATGAAAATGTAACGTACGATTACATTTTATCTGTAGGGTATCACAAGCGTGTCCCTGTAACATAAAATATTCTTCCGTGTCATTGTTAATGGTTTCATTGTATTTTAATGTGAGCGCCCTAGTTGTTTTAACCATTTTGTAATGTGCCAAATGTTCCTTATTGCAGACAACGCAGCAAACGCCTTGACCCAATGTCTGTTTTGTATTTGTACACTCTTAAGGCACTTTCCAACAGCGATACTTCTGAGTCAGAATCAAATACTTTTAATGATTTTTGATAATATTAATTTCTCTCTCTCCAGAGAGGCTGTCCTAACTCACCTCACCAGCTGAGTATGAGATGCCCATTTCCTTGAAACTTCCGTAACACTGGATGTTTGCATTTTAAAACTATTTTCCGACGTGATGGATGAGAAGTGGTATCCATGGTTTAATGTGCATGTCCTTTTTCCTAGTGAATATGGACATTTTTTCATAGGCTTACTGATCATTTCTCTGGCACTTAAGGTTGTAAAGTTGTTTCTTTTTTCCTTTTCGACCCAGTACTTCTGGAGGGAGGCAGCGCCTAGGGAGGATCTAATCCTGCAATTTAAAAAGCGGCCAGCAGATGGCGCTGCCGCACCGGCGGCTCTGAAAGCTTCGCCGGCTGTGCTGGAGCAAAGGAATGAAACTGGACGGGAACTGAGCATTTCCCTAAAAAGTAATAAAAACTAAAAACCGTTCAAAGAGTTTGAAATAATGCTAGAAAGAAAGAGCTTTGCTGAGAAAT